TACAATTCAGAATCGTGAGTGGCTAGAGAGTTTCAAAAATCCTACCAATTTTTCTGAGAAGTACGAGAGTGAACAGGTATTTCGAGTTTTTTTCCGTAAATAATAAATTAAAAAAAAAACCCAAAAAAATAAACAAATCTAGAGATTCTCCCCTCCTCCTAATAATAATGATGATGATGATCATCAAATTGAATGCTGACTCAGCCAACTCTCTCTCTCTCATCCATTTTTTTCTCTCTCTAAAAAAATACGTTTCCATTTAGACCCACTCCTAAAATCCCTCTTTTTCTTCCAAAATTAATTATTTTTAATTACTTTTTTTGAAAAAATATTAAAAATAAATAATAGGAGAAAAATAATATTCTAGGCTGTTCCCTTTCCCCAACCCCCCTATTAAATCTCTCTTTCTTCAGTTACTTTCCTTTCCAAAAAAAGATTTTTTATTTTTTCTTTTTATTTTTTCCTATTACTTTTCACTCAAATTTATTCAAAATCTCACCTTTTTCCAACGCATTTATACATATATATATATATACATGTATATATATATATTCCTTCTATTAATGCTCCCTCTCAGGAATCAATTTTCTTGTGAATCTCAATCAAGTTTCTGTTTTTAAGCCAAACCCACTTTTCTTTTCAATCTTTCTCAAAAGGGTTTGCTTCAGATTCTTCTGGGTCGCCGGAATCCATGGCGGTTCACGCTCAACTCTACTCTGAAAATCATGGGTTCCCCTTCGCCGGCGGTTTGACCGACGTTGTCGGTCAGTTCTGCTTCCAGAAACCGCCGCAGATTACCCCAACTGAGTTATTCAACGGCGACGGTGGAGATCGGGGTGGCTCTGTTTTTTCCTTCTCGAAGAACCCCCACCGGATGGGCGGTGGCGCGGCGGCGTTTTCTCAGTGTATGAGTGCCTATGTTGAAAAACAGAGACAAGAGATCGACCATTGTATTAGATTACAGGTTTGAGTTAAATCCTTTTCTTAAAGTTTACGAATTTTATTGAATTTTATTTTTATTTATTTATTTATTTTTGTTTGGGGTTTAGAATGAGAGGTTGAGAACGGCGTTGAGAGAGCAAGGGAAGCAACAGATTTCGATATTGATGAAGAAAATCGAAGCGAAAACAGAGATTTTGTTAAGGCAAAAAGAGGAAGAGATTGTGAAAGCTTTAAAGAAAACAATGGAACTCGAAATTTTCCTGAGAAAATTAGAAACAGAGAATCAAATTTGGCAGAGAATTGCTGAAGAAAACGAAGCCATGGCTATGTCATTAACCAACAAATTGGATCAAATGAGAGAAAACATAGCCACCAATTCCTCCGACGACGCGGAATCCTGTTGCGCCGATGACGACGAAACTCCGGCGAGAAACAGAGCATGCTCTGTTTCAGAACATGGAACAAAACAGAGCAAGACGATGATGATGATTTGCAGAGGATGTAATTTTAGGAATTCGACAGTGATTTTGTTGCCTTGTCGGCATCTTTGTTGTTGTAAACATTGTGAATCTATGTTGGATTCGTGTCCAGTTTGCAGAACGGGGAAGAAAGCAAGCATTGAAGCTTTGATTTCCTGAGAAACCCAGAATTTTCTTTTCCCGGAAAGTGATAGAAAATCATGAACAGAACAGCACAGTTCTTCAACATTTTCTTCTTTTTTTACTGTTTTTTTATATTTTGGATCGAAAATTTGTACTTCGAAGCTACCAAACAATGAAATGGGGAAGATTTTTAAAGAACAGAGCATCTTTTATTTATTTTTTTTATAATTTTTGCCCATTTTTATGAACAAAATTGTTGGGATTTGGTGATTGATTTGATTATGTTATGGGTGTTGTTAGTAGTGATCCATTTTGAGCTTTGTTTGTCAGAGATTAATTATGAATTTTGAAAGAAACAGATTGTCAGATTGATTCAGTGCTCTGTTTGTGTTTGGTTCCATTTGTTAATATAAAGGTTTAATTACAAATTTGATTCTATACTAAAAAAGATTTTATTTTATTTTATTTGTTTCATAAAATCTTATGATAAAAATAAATTTCTAACTTCGAATTCATTTAAAATTTATCATTTAATGCTCAAATTTAAAGTTTGTTTGAGAAATTGTGTTTATTTTAAATTTTGGTTTGTCATTAAACCATATAATAAATTTGAAAATTTAAGACACGCTATAATAAAGTAGAACAACCAGCTCAAAAATGTCAGTAACCGGCTCAAAAATGTCAGCAACGAGTGTTGTGAGATCTCTCAGTTGGAGGGAAGAACGAATCATTTCTTCTAACGGTGTGGAAACCTTTATTAGTAGACACGCAATGGAAAAATCCAGAAGAGAAAGCTGAGAGAGGATATTAACCTCTTTTTAGTAGACGCGCAATGGAAAAATACAGAAGAGAAAGCCGAGAGAAGATGTTAACCTCTTCTTAGTAGACGCGCAATGGAAAAATCTAGAAGGAAAAGTCGAGAGAGGATATTAATCTCTTCTTAGTAGACGCACAATTGAAAAATCCATAAGGAAAAACTGAGAGAGGATATTAACCTCTTCTCAGTAGACACGCAATAGAAAAATCCATAAGGGAAAGTCGAGAGAGGATATTAACGAGAGGAGTACCAGTTTCGCTGCGTAACTTTAAAACCATGAGGCTGACGGTGATATGTATTCTAACGAGCCAAAATGGACAATATCTATTAGCTGTGAGTTCGAGTTTTTACCCAAAAAAAAAAAAAATTGTCAATGATGAGGCTCGTAGTGGGCCAAAGAAGACAACATCTCCCAGTGAGGGGTGGACTTGAGTTTTTACAAAAAAAAAAAAAAAATAATAATAATAATAATAATTATTATTATTATTATTATTATGTATATTTATTCATTAAAATAATAGTAATATTATTTATTTATTATTATTATTTTTTTTGTAAATTTGATTTTGAGTTTAAGGTTGTCTTACCCACCATATTTTTTTAAAACTATTTTTGTTTTCAATATGATTTTATATTTAATGTGATTTTTTTTTTATAATTTAATATTGACGTGATAAATTAATTTTATGATATCGTATTTTGTTTTAATTGTAAGAGTATAATTATAATATATTAAATAAGTCGAGTGACAAGAATGTGGTTCGATTCTCCTTTTTCAACCCATTTTTTAGACCGATTTTGTTATTTCGTGTAAAGTTCAATCACGCATAATTTATGGGTATAATAAAAATTATAAACTTTAATAGAATAACAACAAAAAAATTTTAAAAGCTCGTAAAAGTAATTTAAAAGCTTTAAGTCATATCTTGATTAATATATTTTTAAAACGAACATTTTAATTCTTATACTTTAAACTTTTGTTCGTTTTAATCTATAGTTTTGAAATATATGAAATTATTCCTTTTTTCTATAAAAATTTTAGCACGTCGTTACACTAAATAGATATTTTATGACCAAAACTGAAAAAGGACGATCTTTTACAATCCATAATCCAGCATCTTCACTGGCACACCACTCGATGTCTAACTTTGATATTATTTATAAGGGTCAAACCCACTGCTAGCAGATATTGTTTTCTTTGTACTTTCTAGTTTATTCTTAAGGTTTTTAAAACATGTTAATTAGGGATAGGCTTCCACACTCTTATAAGAAATGCTTCGTCCCTTCTCCGACCAATGTGTTTTTTCTTTCGAGGTTTTTAAAACGTGTATGTTAGAGATAGGTTTCCACATCCTTCTAAGAACTGTTTCGTCCCCCTCTCGACGTGAAAAAAGGAACGAGGATTCAAATCCAAAATTTTGAAAGTGGAATGCATGGGGCACTTAAAATGGCAACAAATCATTTGCTTTTGCTACCACATTGGGGTTGTAATTGATGGACATCCAAACATGGGGTGGACCTAATCCCTACCTTTCATTTCTCTACCTTCCTTTTTCTTCATGAGTTAGTTGCCCGTCGATATTTGTTATCGCATATTGTAATCGATGGCTTAGACTTTAAATCATATGTTCGAGAGAAGATACGTTGATTTGGATAGGATCACGTTCTTTGTGGCTTGTTGCCGTAACTTCATTCATACACATCTCTCTCTCTTTTTTTTTTTCTTTTTTTTTTTGTTCCTGAAGGTACCGACATAGTTCAAAATGTCAAATGTTTGATTGATGAATGACAGTTTGAGCGAAATTTTATATTGATATGAATATAGTTTCACATCAAGTAAACAATGTAATAGCCTAAACTCACTGCTAGCCGATATCGTCCGCTTTTGTTTGTTATGTATCATCGTCAATCTCACGATTTTAAAACGTGTCTACTAGGAAGATGTTTCTCCTCTCCAACCGATGAGAGATCTCACAGTCCACCCCATTGGAGTCGCTAGCACACTGGCCGACGTCTGACTCTAATACCATTTGTGATAGACCAAGCCCACCGCTAGCAAATATTGTCCACTTTAGCTCGTTACCTATTGTCATCAATCTCACTATTCTAAATTGTGTTTGCTAGGGAGGTTTTCACACCTTTATTGGTCACAACAAGATAGATTTTCAATTTATAAATAAAGACAATATCTTCATTAGATATATTTTTTTATTTTTTGTTACTAAAATATCATTTTGGTCAATGTACTAAAATATAATATTCTTATAATAAAGTCAACTTATGCACAGTTCGACCTCGACCATTCTAAAAAGGTAGCCACTAAAATTCGAACTCATTTCGATGGTAGAAATTAGCATTCTCATTCTAGAAAAGCATCTCTCTTCATTCCATTATCATCTCCATTTGGTAAACAGAGCATAAATTCTTAGTTGGTGTTCAAAAAATCAAAGTGGAAGAACACTGTTCAGTTCTTCCATTAATGGGGTTTGGAAAATTCAAAGTCATCTTTCTCCCAACTACTTTCAAAAGTCAATCTCAGTTACATCACATCACAAAAACAAAAACACATCACATCACAAAAACAAAAACACCTTTCCATTTTAAAGAAATCACTAAACACACGGATCTCGTTCAAGATAAGATCAGAATCAGATCACTCATCACTTCAATAAAGATTAACAAATAAACAATGCGACAGACGAGCCATGTCAATCCCTTAAACTATTCGTGTATCAGTAAGTGGAACTTGTATTGGAGCAAAAGATGATTATGTCAAGCTTTTTACACAATTTAAGATCCGTACTACAGACAAGATCCAAAACAGTAGAGATAATCTTAAGAAAAATTTTGGGTACTCCTCAAAACTACTAACTTTTTATGTCTGGTGATGAAAAGGAGTGGATGGAGACAATCAGTAGAGGCTATAACCAAGAAACTGGCTAATGATAATGGCAAGTCCAAGAGCAATGGCTACAAAAGAAGCAGCCCAGGTCAGTTTTTCAGTTATTCTAGGCACTCTGTCCTTCAATGCCTCGCTAAACGAGCCTATAAAAGCAGTATAGCTTCCCATTGAAATAACTGTTCCAACTAGAAACATAACAAGAAAGGCAGCGCCGGCTACACGGGAAGGCAAGGCTAGGGCAGGCAAGACTATCATGAGTGCATCGGGTTGTAGGCCATGGACAACTCCTGTGGCAAAAGTGGCAAAGCCTATCTTTTTTTTCTTCTTGTTCTTCTCCCCTATGACCATTGGATTCTCTAATGTTTTGTAAATGCCGACATCGCATTCACCATTTTCTAGACCTACAACACATGGGGTACGGACTTCTGAAGCTTCCCTAATACCCAGAATTCCTATTACAAATAGTGTCACGCCTACTACTATTGTGCCCCAGGTTCTGAGAATTTCAATGTGAAGCTTATCTTTTAGCAGTAAAAATAGTAGACCAAAAATGACCTGACCTGCATCATGACCACACCCCCAAAGAGCGCCCACTGCAGCACTTTCCATGCGGCTACAGCCAATTGAAAGGGGTGCAAGGGCAGCAAGGTGATCTGGTCCTGATAATGTGTGTAAGCAGCCAGCAAAAAAGCCAGTCCAAGCGCTACTTAATAGCTCACTCTGGATCAGTCGTCGCCCAACTGCAGCTGCTGCAGGACCTCCGGTTTTAGCTGCATTTTGGAAAGATGCAAAGGCTGCTGGCGCAAAGACTGGTTGGATCAGGATCAGGGCAAGAGCAGAAAGAACAAAGAGTGACTGTTTGACCTAAAGCAAAGATATTTTATCACCTTTAGGAAGAAGATAAATAACTATAGACTAAAGCAAAGATATTAAGTATCATCAGAATGGTAGAACTCAAAATATATTGAAATATGAAAGATAACATAACTAGAAGATGATAACACAGAATATTCGAGGTACTTGGTGTTAGGAATCACGACCTCCACAATGGTACGATATTGTCCACTTTGAACATAAGCTCTCGTGACTTTGTTTTTAGTTTCCTCAAAAGGCCTCTACCAACGAAGATGTATCATTACTTATAAACTCATGATCATCTCCTTAATTAGCCAACGTGGTGCTCCCTCCCAACAATCCTCAACATTTGGAACCTTCCTTTCTTGAGCACTCTCACTCGAGCATAAGGCCACTTTACAATTGCCCACCTCCTCTATTTATAACAATTCACCACAGCAACTTCTCCACCTGGTTACTAACATACCCTTATAATATCCCTAATTCTCTTCTATTGTCCTTCCTATAACAGAATTTACACTTACAAGGGTCATTCTTAGTCAACATATTTAACAAGTTAATAGCTAAATAATATCAACAGAGTGTTTTCTTTGGAGCTATGGCTGTCCATCCTGAAAATCTAGAAAACTCATAACAGATGTGTATTAGGTTTAGATAAACAAATTTGAGATGTGATCGTTTTTACAGTCATTCATTAATATCATTATATTGCTTCATAAATGTCAGCAATGCATGAACAATGTGAGCTGCTGGGATTTTCGTTGTGTCCAAAGAGTCAGAAAAAGATTTAAGGCGCAAAAAAATAAAAGCCCAATTATTGCTGCGTCTGTACTCTGACTCTGTTTGTGATTCTGATAGAGTCTGTGACCTCATGGAAGTAAATGTGAATATTTAATTTCAACGACTACCACTAACAATAAATGAGGAGTGCAAAATGGAGCAGAGATTTTCTCTGAACATACCCGTCGATCTTCATTAAGATCAGTTTCAACATTTATTTCATAACAAAGAATCTCATGTAATGGTTGAGACAACCGAAGCATAATCCAGAAATCCACAGTAATTGTAATTCATTAGAGACATTGATGGTTTACAAAATTGAAAATCAAAATCATGTTCTTGACTCTGATTCCACCAAGAAACTGGAATCCTAAAATTAGCTCTATCCCAAGCACCGCAGCAAGTATTCCACATGACTCGTATAATTAGGTAAAATTCATGCCATAAATTGAAGAAAAATGTTCACGAATTTCAAAGAAATGTGCCCAACATTCGATAATTAATCCAAACAGAACGAATTATAACGTAACCAATTCACAGTATTTCAAACTTGACCTAAAACCGATAAAATGCGCTTCAAAGCAAATAAGACGGCAGACTACATCCCAGCGAAATTCAATTATATGATAATCAAAATTAAAGCAAAGCAGAACAGGAAATTAACGCCAGAAGAACAGAGAAAGGAATTTCAATCCAATACCTTCTTCTTTCCGGCGAAATGTTCAAGCAAATCAGGCTTGGGCGAGACGGCTCTAGAATTGGACGTGGAAATCGAATCGCTCAACGAATTCGACGAAGAAAGACAATGAATCAACGGCATAGAAGGCTTATCAACCTTAGAGGAGAACAAACCAAGCGGACGGAGTCCATGGCGCGTCGGGAGGGGGAAATTGAGCTTCGCGGAGTCAATGCGACGGAACCGAGGAAGAAGAAGAGGTGGATTCGGATTAATCTTGAAGGAGGTAGGAGAAGGAGAATACAGAAGCCTGTCCATGGCGCCTCTTCACCGTCGTATCGGCCGTTGCCGGCGGCAAAAAAAGCTCCGATAGAGGGCGGCGGAGGAAGAAGGAGGGTGGAAGATGAGAATCCCAAATGGAGGCTGGTGGGTGGAGTAGGAAGATAGAGTCCAAGTCAGACAAGTTCAACCGAAAATTAAAGTTCCCAAATTTATTTATTTATTTAATTATTTTCGCTGGTCCAATAAGATTAACGTGGGCTCATCTATTGCCATTAAATTAAATAAATAATAATAATAAATATTTTATAAAAATAAATTATTATAAATTTAAACTAATTAAACCAACTTAATTCTTGTTTTAATTTAATAAACTATTTATGATTTTTTTATTAAATTATAAAGAAAAAATCTAATTTTTAAAATCATATTAACTCATATTTTTGGCAAAATTATGAAAAAAAAATGTTCCAGTAACTTCGACAACTTTCCGAAATCAATATGTGTTCGTTCAGATATAATTTAGACAAACATTCTAATCTACTTTGACCCGTTACGTATCACCGTCAGCCTTACGACTCGTTACATATCATTGTCAACCTCATAGCCCGTTACGTATCATCATCAGCCTAACGATCTTAAAATGCATCTGTTACAGATAGGTTTTCACACCCTTATAAAAAAATGTTTTGTTCTCCTCTACAACCACGTTATATCTCACCATAATAGTTTTAGAACACCATTTAATATATATATATTACTTTTCAAATGAAACCCTAAAAAAAACATAATAATAAGTATAATGACTATTTTTAAATCTCGATAATATTCGACTAAAAATGACAAGCGATTATTTTAGTGATCATAATTTTATTTTAGATTTTTTAATCAAATTTGGCTTTAAAATTTTCATCAAATTCAATATTAACCTTATTTTAAAATTTTTAATTAACTTTATTTTAAAAATAATAATAAATTTGTGGAGTTTAAAATGAAAAAGTGTTATTTTAACCTATTAAAAGTACCTTTAAAATTATATGATTATATAATCAATATTATTTTGAAATTATATGAGAAAAAAAAAATAGTATTTTTAAAATTTTAGATTTTTTTTAATTGTTTTACCTCTTTTTTGGATTATTTTTTTTAATAAATTGTAATTTTGATGAGAATATTAAATTTCAAATTAATGTAGATTTCAGATTTTTATTAGGGCAAGTAGGCAATTATTTAAGTAGGTTGGTGTGAGATTAATTAATAATTGACATTAGCCAACCAGAAATGGTCAGGATTGGAGTGTAATGAAAATAATTTTATTTTTTAATTTTTTTAAAAAGCTTATTTAATTATTAAAAATTTGAAATTTTCTTAGGTTAGAAACAAATTTTATATTAAAAATAATGCTTATGAAAGAAAGAAATAAATAAATAATTATAAGGTTCGACCAAAATATTATTCAGTAAATCATAATTTATTTACTATCGCTCGTGACTTGTATTATGGTCACTTAAACGAGCACTATCTTAGCACTGTTTTTTCAGCACGTACAAAATAGTATAATAGTCATAGATAGAATATGGTTTCTCACCGACGCTCTCAATTCACTGCCTCCAGGACACGAGTAGATTATCACTTTTCATAAGGGCAGTGAGTTGAAAGTGTTAGTGAGAAACCATATTATATCTACGATTATTTTTACTCTTCTCTACGTGTGTTAGGCCCCACATCGGTTTGGAGAGGGGAACGAAGCATTCGTCATAAGGGTGTAAAAACCTCTCCCTAACAGACGCGTTTTAAAATCATGAAGCTTACAGCGATACGTAACGGGTCAAAGTGGACAATATTTGCTAGCGGTGAGCTTGAGCTATTTCAAATGGTATCAGAGTCAGGTTTTGGGCAGTGTTCCAGCGAAAACGCTGGCTCCTTAGGAGTAGATTGTTAGGTCCCATATCGGTTGTATAGGGAAACGAAACATTCCTTATAAGGGTGTAAAAACCTCTTCTCCTAGCAGACACGTTTTAAAACTATGAGGCTGATGGTGATACGTAGCGGGCCAAAGCGGACAATATCTGCCAACGGTGGGCTTGGACTGTTACAACGTGCTAAGATAGAACTTAGTTAAGAGACCATAATACAAGTCATGAGTGATAATAAATTATGATTCGATACGTTAGTCAGTTAGTCACGAGCATGGTCAGTTATACTCGTGTCGTAAGAGTTATACTCACTAACACTTTCGAGTCACTACTCTCGGACGAGCTAGTACACGAGTAGACACTATCAACGATGCGTAATCAATATACCATACAAGGGTATTTTCGTCATTTAAATATTTATAATATATTTGTATATAAATATTTATACATACAGGGGTATGTTCGTCATTTAAATGAATGAGGATAGCAGGTACTAACGTGGCGCGTATTTAAAAGCGCGATATCGTTGTTATCTATTTTCACTAAAATGAGAGGTTCAGCAACGTCCATCCTGAAGCGAAGCAGAGACACAAATCCCTCATTCCATAATCCACTACAACACATCCTACCATCATTTCAAAAGTCAACAGTCAAACAAACCAAAAGTCAACAGTCACCATTTCCTCCATATCCGATTGGACGATTGAAACTCTGTTCGAGTACTCGCGGCGCACTTGATCACAGTGGAAATTTTTAAGAACAAACTGAAAGCGTTCAGCATGTGGCTCACTTCAGTCTTTTTAGTGGTGGAGAAAGAGCTTCGAGCTTTGAAGGTTTGGCTCCAATGGCGAGGCCGGTGCAGATTGAAGTGTGGAATCCGAATGGAAAGTATAGAGTTGTTAGCACTAAGGCTATGCCTGGAACTCGATGGATCAATCTCTTGATCGAGCAAGATTGCCGAGTCGAGGTATGTTATTTTTGCTGTTTCTCACTTTGTTTTCGCCTGTTTCGCGGGAATGTTGATTTGGAGTGAAATTTTGTATTCATTTGGTGTTGTAGATTTGTACCGAGAAGAAGACGATACTCTCAGTAGAGGATATCGTTTCTCTCATCGGCAATAGGTGCGACGGCGTTATTGGACAGGTATTGAACTTAATCGAACTGGTATTGGTTAATCTAAAAGTTTTTGTGCATTTTAGATAGTTTGAATCGAATCGAATGAATAAGTTTTTTCCAGTCGTAGAGGAAAGTTAATCTCTATATAAAAGGTAATTCAGAATAGATTCTAAAAACTGAATTGTAGTGATTTGAGTGATCACGATGGCTCGTTCACGTGTGATTCATGATCGATTGACGTTGCAAACGAGTTTTCGTACTCGTGATTCTGAGATTCGTTTTCTTGGATGTTTCAGTTGACTGAAGATTGGGGAGAGGTGCTGTTTTCTGCACTAAGCAGAGCGGGAGGCAAAGCTTTTAGTAACATGGCTGTTGGTTACAATAATGTAGATGTTAATGCTGCTAATAAGTATGGTATTGCTGTAGGAAACACTCCTGTAAGTTTATTTCTCTGTTAAATGCTACAACGTGAATTGGTATTTGGTACATCTTAATTTTAATGCTCTGTTGCATATTACATATTTGGTTCTGCATATTCTGTGCTACAGACTGGGATTTAGATCATTCTTTTCTTTCTTGTTTAGGGAGTACTTACAGAAACTACAGCAGAGTTGGCAGCTTCACTTTCTCTTGCAGCTGCAAGAAGGATAGTTGAAGCTGATGAGTTCATGAGGGCAGGCCGCTATGATGGATGGCTTCCCAATTTGTATGACTATCTGCCATGATTTGAATTATTCTCTAGAAATAAGCAACCAAAATGGCTCAACAAATTTGAAATAATTTCTTTCAATAGGTTTGTTGGAAACTTGCTGAAAGGACAGACTGTTGGTGTGATTGGAGCTGGTCGTATTGGATCGGCTTATGCAAGAATGATGGTAGTTTTCCTAACACAATTGATTATGAGCTTAATAATTTCTAAATTGGGTTCTAGAAACGTAGTTATCTTTCTTGAAGATCATTAGGATTTCAAGCGAATGTTTTCATCAATGATTAAATTAGGATTAAATAGTAGAGTGCCTATTTTGCCTTGCAGGTAGAAGGGTTTAAGATGAACCTGATATACTTTGATCTTTACCAGTCAACCAGACTTGAAAAGTTTGTTACAGGCAGGTCTTGATCAACGATTCTTGAGAGCAATGAGTTTGAGTTCCTTTAGCTGAAACGCTTGTTTAATTGCAGCCTATGGTGAGTTCCTGAAAGCCAATGGCGAGGCTCCCGTGACATGGAGACGAGCATCATCCATGGAAGAGGTGCTTCGAGAGGCTGATGTGGTATGACTTTGATATGATTAATTAACATGCTTCTGAAGAGCTTGGCTCCCCTTGTGTTACATAAATTAGCTGTTCTTTGTCCCTTTGGATTTGTAGATAAGTCTTCATCCAGTACTGGATAAAACCACCTTCCATCTGGTGAACAAAGAAAGTCTTAAAGCCATGAAGAAGGTGAAGCTCTTTTCTCTCTTCAATTATGGTTTCAATCTCCCTGACCCCATTACATAGATTCACTGATTGGTTATATTTAAACGTATGTTTCTTAAACCCATGTTATAATTGCAGGATGCAATCCTCATTAACTGCAGTCGAGGACCTGTGATCGATGAAGCTGCCCTTGTCGAGCACTTAAGAGAGAATCCGATGTTTCGAGTTGGCCTTGATGTCTTTGAGGTATGTCTGTTCATAATTCGTCACTATCTCATCTTAAAGTTGATTTGCGTTACTATGATCATCATCCCTAGGATGAACCATACATGAAACCTGGGCTAGCTGATATGAAAAATGCCATCATTGTTCCTCACATTGCTTCCGCTTCCAAGGTAAACAAAAATCTCTGCCTAGGTTGACAGTGAAATAAAGATCTCCTTACAGGAGTATTAACCGTCTTTCATAACTATAGTGGACTCGTGAAGGAATGGCGACACTGGCTGCTCTTAATGTCCTGGTGTGCAACCTATAAATTTATACTCGCTTCATAAATATATTTGATTTCCTATAAATTTGTTCTTCTGATCTCGCTTGCATGTTGAGCTTAAATGCATTGGCTTCTCTAACCGTTCCACAGGGAAAGATTAAAGATTATCCCGTTTGGTCCGATCCAAACCGAGTAGAACCCTTCCTCAACGAGAACGCTCCACCTCCAGCTGCATCTCCGAGCATTGTGAATGCGAAAGCCTTGGGTAGTAAAAACCTTGACTGAAAACCATAGCTTATTATAGTTCAATTATCTTACTTTCATAATTATCTTTGCAGGATTGACTGTCTCAAAGCTGTAAAGAACGCATGCCCGCACAAATTGAAGCATTATAGATTGGAGGTAAATGAAAGATTGTATTTGTGAAAGATATTGATGATGAATGTAGAACTCTGGACAATTGATTATAATGTGCATCTGTCCTTTTCGTTGAATGCAAGTCCATTCTACCGTATCAAATAAATTAGTTTGAATTATATTTTAAATTCACGTGATTGATGTCAACTGAGTTCGAGTTAATTCAAGTTAAGCATGTTTAAGTTCAAATCCACGTGAATGATGTCAACTGAGTTCGAATTAATTCAAGGTAAGCATGTTTAATGTTGAACTTGTTACGATTGAGTTACGAATGTGCACTTTGTTAATATGGAAACTATTAATAAACGCAGGAAAAAAATCAATTTTGTTAACTTCTAAAAAAAATATAAATATATCTCTGTCTAATTTCTAGAATACCTAAATTAAAAAAAAAAATCACCTCTCATACCTAATAAATTTATAAACTTTTAATTTTTTATTTTAAAAGATTAAATAGATCAATTATTTATTATTTTTAGACATAAATTTGAAAATAGATAAACTATATCATTGAAAAATTTAAGAACATATGATAAAATACAGGTCCATATTTAATATTTTCCGGTCCGTCCTCTTATTTTGTAAAATTCTTCTTGAAACAATATCCGTATTAGATATCAATTATTATCTGATTCCGATAGAAAAGAATAGTAAATATGAAAATTTTCACGCTAAAAAAACATAATTAAAATTTAGGATAAATAAATAAAAATACTAATTTTGTACCTACGGTAAAGAAAATAAATTTCATTTGACTCCATTATTTAGACGGATTAACTGAACGCCATAGTGTAATATTTCTTTCTTTCAGACAATTCTTTTTTTAATGTCCTCTCCAAATGAATCAGTGTTTAATAAAAATAAAAAAATATATATATTGATGCACATCCTAATCTCGTGAAAAAATATACGTAACTTTACTCTTTAATAATTTTTATTAAGTAAGATTTCAATTTTTGTATATTTTTTTAAACTATTTTTTTATTTATTAAACTAAAAAAATTTAAACAAATTTTATAATTAGAGAATATTTTTTAAATGATTTTATAAATATATTATGATTTAAAATTTTAGAAAATTTAAAAGTATCTGAAATAAGATTTAAAATTTTAGAAAAGGAAATAATATCTTTTAAAAATAAAATCTAAAATATATCAATATTTTTAATCTAAAATTTAATGAATAATAAATTTGTATCATAAATACATAATCTCAGGCTTAAATCCTATATATAAACCAACTATATGCTCTCTCATCTCCACCATTCATAATCCTCTAACCGTCTGTCAGTTAGGGTTTCTCCATCCTCACATTCGAAAACAAACGTTCAAAAAAATCCCTTAATCCCTTACGCAATGTCTTCATCCAAGGTGATCGTTCTCAGGAGTTCTGACGGCGAAACTTTCCACATCGACGAAGCGGTGGCTCTCGAGTCTCAGACGATCAAGTACATGATCGAGGACGATTGCGCCGATACGGTCATCCCTGTGCCCAATGTCACCGGTTCCATTCTAGCTAGAGTGATTGAGTATTGCAAGAAGCATGTCGAGACCGATGCTAAGGATTCTAAAGCCCTCGATGATACTCTCAAAGCTTGGGACGCTGAATTTGTCAAGGTTGATCAGAATATCCTCTTTGATCTCATCTTGGTGAGTTCTCTGTTCTTCTTCTATTTCTATCTCTTTTTTTCGCTCATTATAACATAATTTGGGGCTTTTTGATCATTTGTGACATGTAAATTCAAGGTTTTATTGCGGAATTCTTTAATATCTCTGTCATTGTTGACTGTTATGTTCTTGTATTCGACATGTACAAATTGACTGTATATCACGAATTGTCTTTTGTTTTGATTATAATACGAAACTTAGTTAGTATGCGAACTTGCTTCCTTGTATAATATAAGCATGGAATTGCAGATTACTGTTAATTAGTCGATCATGATTCTTTAGAATGGCATATTTGATTCATGTCCAAATGTGCCTTTCCAGTGATAATCTTGAATTCACTTATAAATCCACTTATAGTGGCTTTGAAATTGTAAGATTACAAGGGTGAAAAGTGGTGTTAGCACTCTTCTAGAGCAGGAAGAGCAGGAGATTGTTGTTGTAAAGGGGGGAGATTGTTGGATGATAAAAGACTTAGGGAATGATCGTGTCTTTATAAACAAAGAATACTCTCTCCATTGGTATGAGGCCTCAAACAAAACCATGAAAGTTTAATCTCAAAGTGGACAATATCATACCATTGTGGAGAGTAGCTAATTTGGTTATTGACATGCAAATGGGTTGTCCTTGTTGATATCAATTTGGTTAGTGACATTCAAATGGGTTGTCCTGGTTGATATCAATTTGGTTATTGACGTTCAAATGGTTCTTGTTATCTGTGTTGGGGCTTAGGCATCACAAGATGTTTTAAATTACATGGTTTCTGTGTATATGGGTTTGCTTGTTCTTTTGTGGTGATGGATAACAATGGATGTGTACCCACCAAGCAGGCCGCTAACTATCTGGACATCAAGAGCCTGCTGGACCTGACATGCCAGACAGTGGCAGACATGATCAAGGGAAAGACCCCAGAAGAGATTCGAAAGACATTCAACATCAAGAACGATTTCACTCCAGAGGAGGAAGAGGAGGTTCGAAGGGAGAATCAATGGGCCTTCGAGTGAACATTCATTCATTCATTTCATCAACTGCTTCAATAGGATAGCCATTGATCTTAGTTAGTAGGTTTTTTTTATTTTATTTTATTTTATTTATTTATTATTATTATTATTTCATTAAATTTATGTTAGGATGTTTTGATTTTTAATACTAAATTTTTAGTTTGGAGTTCGTTTCCATTAAAACAAATTGAATCATTATCATCTCTAGATAAAATAAATAAATAAATTTAGGAATATTTTATATAAATTAATTATATTTCTTATTTTTTTAGTGTATTTTATTTAATTTAATTTTATTATTTTTTAGCGATGAAAAAAATAATAAAATTAAATAGATAAAGGGGGCACTCAACATTTTTTTTTTAATTTATAATTAATTTGATTTTGTATTTAAAGATTTATTAAATTTTTTTAATGCTGGCCAGTGGGTCAATTAGAAACTTTCCGGCGCATTGTGTGGCCCAACTGGTTGACATTTGGACTTCATATTGGGCTGTAATGGTCCAATGGGCCCATTTCCTTTTTTTATTGGACTTCAAAAGGCTTTCCAATGGGCCCATCTCTCAACTCTTTTGGTTTCAATTTATAATTTATTTTTTCATATTTTCTTTTTTGTTTCAATTTATTTTTTCACATATTTTTAGTGGATCGTTGATTCCTGATAGAGCCAGACAAATATTGTCCTTTTTGGACTTTCTCTCGCTTTAAACCCATATCCACCGCTAGCTAGCAGATACTGTCCTCTTTGGACTTTCAACCCAGATCGCAAGCTAGCAGATATTGTCCTCTTTGGACTTTCAACCCAGATCGCAAGCTAGCAGATATTGTCCTCTTTGGACTTTCAACCCAGATCGCATTGTCCTCTTTGGACTTTCAACCCAGATCGCAAGCTAGTAGATATTGTCCTCTTTGGACTTTCAACCCAGATCGCAAGCTAGCAGATACTGTCCTCTTTGGACTTTCAACCCAGATCGCAAGCTAGCAGATATTGTCCTCTTTGGACTTTCAACCCAGATCGCAAGCTAGCAGATATTGTCCTCTTTGGACTTTCCTTCAAGGCTTTAAACCCAAATCGCAAGCTAGCAGATATTGTCCTCTTTCGACTTTCCCTCAAGGCTTTAAACCCATATCCACCGCTAGCTAGCAGATGTTGTCCTCGAACTTTCTCTCAAGGCTTTAAAACGATTGTTAGAGAAACCCTTATTGGGCTTCCCCTAAAGGCTTTAAAACGTCTGCTAGGGGACTTTCTCTAAGGCTTTAAAACGTTTGCTAGGGAAAGGTTTTCACACTCTTATTGGGCTTCCCCTCAAGGCTTTAAAAGGAAAGGTTCCACACCCAGTGATTTATTCCCCTCTCCAATCCGTCTGGTTTGTTCTCCCCTCCAACTGGACATCACGTCTTAAAATCATTTAGTTATGATTTGATAACGTTTTGTTTTTTGAAAAATATGTTTGTTTTTATATCTGTGTTAAATTTTCACTTTTTTAAAAGGCCATTTAGATTTAAGTCAAATTAAAATTTAATTTTTTATCCACTCTTTTAGATTTTAAAATTTAGCTTGGTTTTGAAAAAAATTTAAAATTACATTTATACCCTTCACCTTCCAAAATATTTTTAAAAATATACTTTTTAATTATCATATTACAAAATATCATAAAATTCACTAAATATTTTCTATAATTGGATAAAATTATCATAAATAAACTTTAAGGTTAATTTTGTAGGACTTTATTAAATTATGAGGGAATTAATTATAATATTTCAAACCAAAAATCAACTTTTCTTTTTTTTAATAATTTAAATTAATTTTGAAAAGAGATGACAGCTGGAAAGTAAGGAGATAAGGATGATGACAAGGCCACCTTATGGAATTTTTCTTTTTTGAGAATTGGGAACGGAAATCAAAGTTTTAATATTTCTTCTTTTTTCTTTACAATTTCCACGTCATAATTTAATACAAATAATATATTTTTAAAAAACGTGGATAAATATTTCTAAAAATATATATATAAACAAAATTAATAAATAAATTACAAGTTCCTAATATTGTAAATAAAATCTTACCATTTTTTTTTTATAGAAATATTTGTTATTTTTGGTTAAACTATGTGTATTTTTTATTGACGTCAAATAATTATTAATTTTTTTTTGTAAGCTTCTAGAATATGTGGCATGAATATTTAAATTTTTAACTTTTATATCATACAAATTAGGGTATTCATATGATTCCGAATAACCTAGACTATCGAGGCCAACTCTATTCAAAGTTGAGTTTAAGTTAAGTCATCTGAAATCTCATGTTGGTTGGAGAAGAGAACAAAACATTCCTTTTAAGAGTATGAAAAATCTCTCCCTAACAAACTCATATTTTAAAATCGTGAGGCTGACAGCAATATGTAACTGGTCCAAGCGAAAAATATCAGCTAGTGGTGAATTTGAATTGTTATAAGTCGTATTCAAAATTTTCATTTAATTTGCTTGAACTTTTTTTTTTTCGTCAAGAACCTAATAAACTCGAAAATAGATTTGCAACACATTATTATAAATGTTTAATTTTTATATTAATTTATAAATATTTGATATTTAAGTCTAAGGCGATCATATTAGTTAATATAATAAATATATATATATATATATATTTGTCTTTTTTTTTTTTTAATGGAAAAAGAAAAAGTAATTATAAATTTATAAAATTTATTATCTCATGGGAAAATAGGAAGGTGGCATTAAAAGATGTGAGCAGATGGTGGGACCCATATACGACGGTTGTCAGTTAGTCAATGGCTTTTATTTTTTTATTTTTTAAAAAAAATGCAAAAAGACGGCGTAATGAATGAGATGACCGTTGCCGTTTGTCTTTCTCTATTTCGATTACGCCGTTTTCCCAACGGTTCAAGAAAGAATGCTCTAGAACGATCTCGGCGGGATCTAGCCGTTTCCTCTATTTTCCTTTTTTAAATTAATTTTTTTTTTTACAAAATTCAATTTCTACCTTTATTATATTAATAAAAAAAACTAAACTAATAATTATATCCATTTAAATTTTAAACCGATAATATAATTAGTTTAGATTTTATTTATTTATTACATAACTCTTAAAATTAAGATAAAATTACTTAAATTTAATTTTATTTTATTACTCTAATAAATAGACTTTGCTTTAAAGATTGATAACCTTTCCTCGTATCTAAATATAAATGCTTACTCATTATAAATTGTTATATATATATATATATATATATAATATTGAGATCTAAGATTTAATTATAGTAAAAAAAAAAAAAACTTTGTTACTAAAGTCGTTATTATTATTATTATTATGTTCATTTTTAATTTATAAATATCTTTAAATTTTAATGGTACCTTCATAGATTATTTTTAAACTTTTTAATTTTGAAAATTTAAAAGTGTTTTTGAATTTTTTTGAATTTTTTATTAAAGGGTATTATTGAAATCCTATTAAAAGTCGAGAATATGTTTTAAATAAATATTAAATATTTCTAAAAAAATTCCTAAATAATTTTTATAATTTTATAATCACAATAAATGTGTTTATCGTACCAATAAAATTGTCGGATTACCTTATCCATAGCTGAGTGGCGGATGATTGGATAATCTTGTAAATAATTTATTTTAAAAGATCAGAGTGGTGAAGCAGCATCATCCATCATACGTATTATTCCACTCAATACTTTTTTCTTTTTTTATTAATTAATTTATAACTATTAAATATTTTATTTATTCCGTTGAATAATGACAAACTAACAAAACCAATGCCAGCCACGTTACCGTCTCTTTCCTCGTTAGTAATAATAAATTAATTAATTGTGGCTGGAAAATACAAATTTTATCAATACTTTTAATCTTAAAAAAAAAATTAAAATATATCTAACGCTTTAAATTATTTATGGATTTAATAAAATATCGGAAATAAAAAAAAATAAACATGAAAATATTATTAATAAAAATATGACTAATTTAATTTGATAGAGAGAATCTTAAATTTAAAAGAATCACCAAATTAATAATAACAATAATTAATGAAGAAAAATCTTTGTTCCTATAATAAATTAATGTATAGATTTTATTATTATTATTATTATTTATTTTCTTTATAAATTGGCATGCAAAATAAAACAAATAAAAAAAACTCCATTTTTATTATAATAATAAGTTATTATTATTATAATTTTAAGGTGTGATGTTTTTTTTTATTTGTTTATAGTCATATAATGTTGCTTTCTCTGATTCTTTCAAATCGTTTTCATATGAATTTTCTCTCTCACATTTTAAAAAAAAACGTGATTCGAGGGCTGAACATACGTCGACGTTTTTCGCGACGTGTGAATTTCTCACGGTTGACTTGTTCGCTGGGTTAGAACAAGTGTTGCACAATTGTTGTCCCGCTACTGTAATTGTGTGATTGTGACACTGAGCTCGTTAATTGAGTTGAGTCGACATTATGTCAACTGAAACAACAAAATAAAAATCAACAGGAGAACGTTATTTCACAGGTATTCAACTCTTATTGCGAGGAAGAGAGAATAGATATTAATAAGCGAGTAGTCACTTCTGCAGCAACTTTAACCAACAATGACAATGCTCAGAGGAAGGTATGTCGATCACTGAAGAAAGTGATAACAATTTTTTCATACGTTCTTAGCAACTTTTATTCTCGTCTTCAATTTAGTTTACTAATAAATTGAATACGCAGGAGTTAGTAGTTACTAACATATCGAGCGCCAAGATAACTTACATGTTTGGTTGTCAATTCATTTGAAGTTTCTAACGATAAGGACCATTAATGAAATTTTATCAAATTATAGGGGCAAAAGTCTAATTTTAAAAAAATATAGAAACTAAATATTAATTTTGCAATTTAGCCCTTCCATTTATTATTAAGAAAAAAAAAAAAGAGATAACGGCGTTAAAAAAGTTTTAACTGTACAGCAACAGCTAAAGGACAGAATATAATAAATATTGATTTTTAATTAATTTTTTTTTAAATAAAAAAAAGACAGGATGTTACCGTTATAGAGTTGGAGGCAGAGGGTTTAGTTGGATGCCAGGCTGCTTTGCCCCAATCGCCTGCCCACCTCATATCATTACCCTGCTCTCCTCTACCCACTTTATTTATTTATTATTATTATTTTTTTTAATTTCTCGACTAAATTTATTATCCATTTAAGTATAACTCAACTGATTAATATATATATATATAAATAAAATTAAAAAGACAACTCGACAACTTAGAGAGTTGAGTTGGGTCGTAAACTTTATTCGAATGGTTTGAGTCATTGATTCAACTAATTTGAAATTTTGAGTCCGTCCATGTAATAGTAGCATGAGGTCACTAGCTAGTAAACATTGTCTGCTTTGTTTTGCTACATATTGCTGTCGAGAGGTCCCCACATCTCTATAAGGAATGTTTCAGCCGATGTGGGAACCTCTCCCTAACAGACACGTTTTAAAACTGTGAAGTGGATGACGATACATAACGGGCAATATTTACTAGTGATAGGCTTGGATTTGTACAAATGACATTAGAGTCATACACTGAGGAGTGTGCAAGCGGAGACGTTGGCTTATAAGAGGGTGGATTGTGAAATACCACGTCGATTAGAGAGGAGTACGAAATATTATTTACAACAGTGTAGAAACCTGAGAGCTTAAACCCTACTCCAAATACAAAATTCCAAAAATACCCCTTTGGTTTTTATCTATAAAGAGCATCCATTTCCCCTTCTCTTCACCTTCCCCTTCCTAAACTACTCTCACAGAAAACAGAGCATCAACCAGAAGCTTACCCTGTAAAATTTCACCGTCGCCTCGCCGGAATTTCAGTTCTAAGACCTTAAAAATGTCGAAAGAGGTGATGGAAGAAGGACAATCCGGCCTGAGAAAGGACTATGTCGACCCACCGCCGGCCCCGCTCATCGACGTCGCCGAACTCTCCCTCTGGTCCTTTTACAGAGCACTAATCGCCGAGTTCATCGCCACTCTCCTCTTCCTCTACGTCACGATCGCCACCGTCATCGGCAACAACAAACAGACCAAGGTTTGCGACGGCGTCGGAATCCTCGGAATCGCTTGGTCCTTCGGCGGCATGATCTTCGTCCTCGTCTACTGCACCGCCGGAATCTCAGGTAACTCACGAAATCTTGATCTTCATTTTTTAGGGTTTAGGGTTTTGTGGTGTTTATTAGGGATTTGTTTGCAGGTGGACACATTAATCCGGCGGTGACATTTGGGCTGTTTCTGGCGAGGAAGGTGTCGCTGATCAGAGCCGTCGGGTACATGGTAGCGCAGTGTGCCGGAGCAATCGTCGGCGTTGGGTTGGTTAAGGCGTTTATGAAGCACGATTATAACGGCCACGGCGGCGGAGCTAACTCCGTTCAGTCTGGTTACAGTAGGGGTACGGCTCTTGGCGCTGAGATCATCGGAACTTTTGTTCTTGTTTACACTGTTTTCTCTGCTACCGATCCCAAGAGAAGCGCGCGTGACTCTCACATTCCGGTAAGTTTCTTCTCCGACCACCATGGATCTTGGATTTTCATAACGAATATCGTTACGAAGTCATATTTGGTTCATTTTATAGGTTTTGGCGCCATTGCCGATTGGATTTGCGGTGTTTATGGTTCATTTGGCCACCATTCCCATCACCGGAACCGGAATTAACCCGGCGAGAAGCTTCGGCGCCGCCGTGATTTACAACAGTGAAAAAGCCTGGAACGACCATGTAAGTCATCGCCGGCTAGAGATTTTCAATTAATATTTTCCGATTGTGAAATGATTTCTTATAACCCTTTGGTGGGATTTTTACAGTGGATCTTCTGGGTCGGTCCGTTCGTCGGAGCACTGGCGGCGGCTGCGTACCACCAGTATATTCTCCGGGCAGCCGCCATTAAAGCTTTGGGATCATTCCGCAGCAACCCCACCAATTGAGATGAAGAAGAAGAAGAAGAACATGTTTTAAATTATTCGTTATTATTTGTTTGGGTTTTGTGTTTAATTTAATTTTTAATCTTTGTTTCTTAGTTTTAATTTTTGGGATTTGTAATATTTATGTTTTGTTCATGAGAAGATTCTAGTGGTTGTTGGCCTTCAATTTGTCTCGTTTCTTTCTTTCCTTAGCGTTTTTTACGAGATCCCGATCTCGAACCTTACTGGCTACTCCAACACTTAATTCACGATGAGCCCACCAATTTTCTAAATCAAAATACAAATTCAATTTGGTCCACAGTTTAGCCTGATATCAGTTTGTTTGTGCTCGTTATTTGAATTGCATACTATGCTTTACTCCTTCCCTGTGCTACTAACTTGAACCTATCATCCACTCCCAACATTCATTCACGATAAACGTGCGACTAACTTGAACCTATCGACCACTCCAACGCTTCATTCACGTTGAGCCCACCAAACTACTTACATTGCTTTCTCCTTCCTCGTGCTACTAACTTGAACCTATCGACCACTCCGACGCTTCATTCAAGATGAGCCCACCAAACTACATACTTTGCTTGCTCCTTCCTCGTGCTACTAACTTGAACCTATCCACCACTCCAACGCCTCATTCACGACGAGTCCACCAAATTATATATACTCTGCATGCTCCTTATGTATGCTATTAACCCTCTTGATCGACGGCTCTAACACTTAATTTACGATGAGCCCACCAATTTTCCTAATCAAAATGGCTTGGCCGAATATCACTATGTTTGTGCTCGCGATCTTAACTATACATTTTGCTTTCTCCTTCCTCGGCTACTAACCCTCCCGTTCCGGACGAAGAAAAGGTGAAAAAAATCGTAGTTCATAGTAGCTGTTTTATATTTATATATATACATTAAGATAAATTAAACTATATTTTATTCTCTAATTAAAAAAGAATATAAATATATAAGTGAAATAAGGTTTATTTGTATAAAATCATTTAAAAAAATAAAAAATAAATAAAATTTGTGAGAGCTTAGAACTTAGGATACCTCCAAAGGAGATCGTAAAAGCCAATGAGGTAAAGCCACGTGTACGTAACAAAAGCAGGGTAAAATGGGGAGGGAGAAGGTTTTAAATTATTTTAAAAAGTAAAAAGAAAAGACAAAAAAGCTAAAAAGAAAAGTTAGTTGGCGCCGTCCAACTAAACGGCAGAGAGAGAGAAGAATCGATATTTCAGGAAGTGGGCCCCACACTACTCAATTGTACACGTCACGACAGCACATGGGCATGTGGGCCCCACTTCCACTTAAAATTTTTTAACTTCTTTTTTTTTTTTTTTTTAACTTCCCAAAATCAACTTTTTTTTTTTTTTTTTATACGACAAAATATCTCTTTTACATTTTTTTTAATGCTGTTTATTTTTATTCAATAAAACATTATATTAATTCAAAATTCTATTATTAAATATTTATATTCGGTTATTAATCATATAAACATTTATCATATGACAATTGACACGAAAATAACTCAAATAATCAAATATTAATGTTTTGGTTTTTGAGTTATAGTTCGAGAAAATATTATTTTCGTATCCCTAATTTTATCAAGTTGTATCAATTTTTACCGTAAGCTTTATAACCCATCCACCCGAGAATTTTCCACTAATTCCTTAGATAAATACTGCAATTCACCCCTCTTTTACTGCGTCGGTGGCTTATTACGTTCCATAATTTTCATAAACTTACTACGTTCCATAATTTCCGACTTAACCATCCAGACGTCGGTGGCTTATCAGAAAGGGGCATTGCAATACTTGATATAAAAAATGATATGATCTAACAAGTTCAAAGCAACGAGAGTTTATATTCAAAGTGAACCGTGGAAAATCGTGATTCCTAACCTGACGAAGAAAGGAAAAAAAAAAAAACCTAATAAGCAAGCATGGAAAGTGGGAGATATCTCAAGCTACATGATATGCTTCATTATGCAATAAACTAATAAGATGATACAGCTCATGACAGTTTGTTTACCCATTTAATTACGCTTACAGTTCTAAATTATCTAAAGTGATGTTATAATCTACTACTAATCATAACAGACCATCAGCGAATGATTTGGATCTTAAAGTTTGTACCTTGGAGTTCATCGATGCAATTAGTTCTTCCAGCTGAGATGATTCGAGCTCCAGTTCGGTTACTCGAGCTCGTGTTTTTGCTACTTTTGTTTTTGCATCAGAAGCCTCTTGCTCTTTCAATGCCAAATCTTTCATTTGGAATTCTAGTTCTTTCTTTGTTGATTCCAAATTCTGCTCGCAGTCTGCCTTTGCGGCTTCGGTTGCCCGATGCTGACTTCTCAGCTCGACAGCTTGGGAGATCTCATCGAGGCTACTCTTTAACCATCCTATGTTGATTTGTGACGACTCGACGTCCTTGACAATGGCTAAGAGTTCTTTTACTTTGGATTTGGTGAGTTGATGAAACTCTGTGGATTGTAATTCTTGAATCACATAGCACACGCATTGTAGATAGTACGAGCGCATGGAAACCGACTCCAATTTACAGGTAGTTGCGATATCGCCGTAGTTTTCGAAGATCGATGTCAAAATGGAGGAGAAGCTGGCTTTTACGTTGTATTTTCCCACTGGAACACACATCTCAGAGTTTACAGATTTGATCTCTTCCTCGTCGTCGCTGTCGTCTACTAGTGTTTGCTCGAAGCCAGACAAGCTAAAGCTAGATTCACTAGATGGCTTTTGAGAAGCTTCTTTGGCATTCTTACCATTTGGTGTAAGTACCTTCTTACATAATATTTCATGTTCTCCGTCCTCGTCCTCGTCTCCGTTCCTGTTATTTGTCATCCGAATCCATCTCTGCTTTGGAGCATCCTCTGGATAGTCATGCTGTCAAGAAAGAGGATTGAGGATTCAACATTTTGATGCAACAGTTATCAATTAGGATGAAGGTCAAAAAAGCACCATTATGAGACTTTCGTATGAAGGAATTCGAGGCGCCTGCTCGGCGCTAAGACTACGATCTTCGGAATAAAATCTTTTGGTAGGGGAGATATGACCGCCATTTCTTGATTCTACATTTATCTTAGGAGTGATACATGAGTTGAGTGAGCGAGCTTCGGTAGAAACCGAGCTTGAGTAGCGTCCACCGTCAACTTCATTCGGAGGCTTTGGTCGGGACTTCTTCCTTCCGAAAGATTTGGAAATATCAAGCCAAGATCCTGCTAGCATAACAAGATAAAAAAACGATGAGCCAGAAGAATAATCTTCAAGAGCATCCACAGACGTTCGAGAAGAAACGAAGTCTCGTGCGATATTTCGTTCCATATCTAACTAAATGATCAATCAAGTGAATATCCAAATCTATCAAATTTTCATCAAGTCAGAGTATCAGCTTGCTACCTAATATTCAACACAAGATTATTGGCATTGTATAGTTAATATGATGCAATGAAGCATCTTTTCGTGACAAATTCAATTGCCCCGACTAGAGGACTCAGTTCAATTATACATTAGCCTAAATCCACCATTAGCAGATATTGTCCGCTTTGACCTGTTATGTATGGCCGTTAGTCTCACGATTTTAAAACGCATCTAGAGGTTTCCACACCCTTATAAGAAATGCTTCGTTCCCCTCTCCAACCTATGTGGGATCTCACAATCCACCCCCCTTCGGAGCCAACTTCCTCACTGGCACACCGCCCGGTGTCTAGTTCTGATACCATTTGTAACAGCCCAAATCCACCTCTAGTAGATATTGTCCGCTTTAGCCGTTACATATAATCGTCAGTCTCATAGTTTTAAAACGCATCAAGTAGGGAGAGGTTTTCACACCCTTATAAGGAATGCTTCGTTCCCCTTTCTAATTGTGAGCTGTATTTTCATAGAAACGGGAACAATCCATCAAAAAGTATATATCGAATGGTCTCGACATCCATCATAGCCATCAAGTTCTTTTGAGATTAGCTATTAACCACTCAACAAACAGCAGCATGGTTCACAAGAAAACACACAAGAGCTAATGAAGGAACAAACAAAAAGTAGTGTAAGCAAAGCCAGAGATTACCTTTACCTTTAGACTTTTTATCCTTTTCTGCCTTGCTTTCAGCTGTTTTCTTTATGCAATATTCAGTGCATTCATGGAAGGGATTGGAAGCATAAATACAATCTGGGCGAACTTTTCTCCTTTCAGCCATCTCTTTCCTGAAATTTCACTACCTGTAAGTTTCACAGCATCAGAATTTCACCATTTTTGTCTTAAATCAGAGCTTTGTCACAAGGCTTTCTCAGTTCAAACCGAAAATTTCCAGAAGCATCAAAAGAATAAGCCAAACTTCTAATCATCTAATACAAGAGATAGCAAAAGGAATCAAGTTCTCCAATGCTTTCATTATCTGATGAACAAACTTAAAGAAAATGAACACACGAAACCAGTTCAGAACAAAGCAAGACACAGAATCCAACTAAAATCAGCGAAGTTGCTTATTAAACCAATGAATTCAGAGGAAACAAACTCAAACCCAGAAAAATCAAGCTCCAAATAAGGAGTCCCAGAAACCAAGAAATCGAAATTGAAAGCGAAATTTGCACAGAAAACACAGAGATTTAAGAACAAAGAACAATGGACGAATCATGCAATCGATCCTCACTTGAAGGGTATCGATTTGTTCTCTGTTTTTCTGAGAGGGGTTTTGAAAAATAGAAGCGATTATTGATATGCAAAGGTAAAGTTTCAAAGTGGCCACTAAATTTCTAACGCTGCCATTAATGGGTGTTCTTGGATGATGTTGAAACATCGACCAATTAGGTGGAACACGAAAAGAAAAATGAAAAAGTAGTCAATTTCTTTTGGAATTTTCCAATCCCAAAATTCCTGCAAACTGGGACGCTTCACAAATGAAATCAAAACAATTCCTCATTAGTCACCAAAAAGTAGAAAGAAGTGGACATTTAATGGCTGAAAACCTGTTTTATAGCTCTAAGTGTGGACTTATTCAACAGTTTTGAAATAATGGTTTGTCACTTTTAACTCATTTGATTTTTAGATATTCTATTTGTGGATATTATTCTTTAAGAATTGAAAAGAATTATTTTAATCTGTATATTTTTTAAAATATCTATTATCCCTACATTTAGCTTATATCAATTTTGGTTTATATACTTTCAAAATATTTGTTCCATTTCTTCATTTTATTTGTTGTCTCATATCTTTAATCATAATTTAGAAATATAACTTTATATTAAAGAGTTTATATTATAAAGATATATATAATTTGTAATATAATTTTTTTTCGTAGAGACCAGAAACAAATCAATTTTTAAAATTATAGGAACCAAAAACCAACCTAAAAAAAAAAAATAATAGTATTAAAACTATGAAAATAAAATAAAAAGAAAATTTATAAGTCAAGCTCAAACAATCAGGCCACGAGGCTTGACCCACGTGGGCTTGGGCTTGGGCTTTATGAAACAATTTCCATTTTTTTTCAAAATTTAAATTAATTTATTTACTTTTTAATCAATACTACTTGATTTTAATGTTGTATATACAAAAACTTAAAAAATAGAGAGAGAAATATAGTACTTAAAAAAAAATTATCATTTTTTAAAATTTCGGGTAATACTCAAATATTCTGCTGAAGAAAATGTAAAAATAAAATCGTAAAAAAACAAGTATAGCTTTAGAGACAGAAAACAAAGACGAGATAAAAACCCTAATTCAAACAAAATATGCATACTTTTGCCAATGTGTGCCTACTTTGATATACAAAGCATGAAGATGTAAGCATTTTTGTGAGTACTTAAGATTGTTTACAAACAATACAAGCACATCCTTAACAATGATGACATGTTGGCAGTCAGGGTTGGGACAAGCTATAGAGTAGTTGAGAGTCATGAAAGAAGATGCAAAGACTGAAAAGAATGCATAAAACTTAGCAAGGCAGTTGGGGCATCTTAGCTCATGCAATCTGTTACTCCATCATTACCGACTCATATATAGTTTTTCTTTCATCCCTCTCCCCCTTAGTCCATCTCATAATAACTAGCGGTAAAAAAAAAAAACTTATAATGGGTGACTGATAGTGACGGTGACTGATAGTGAAGTAGTACTATGAGGGAAGGGTGAAAAGAACCCCATCGGAGAGTGAAATAGAACATGAAACCGTAAGCTTCCAAGTAGTGGGAGGAGATCAGGACTCTGACTGCGTGCCTATAGAAGCTTCCAAGTAATAGGCAGTGGCTTGGTTAAGGGAACCCACCGAAGCCATAGCGAAAGCAAGTTTTCATAGGGCAATTGTCATTGCTTATAGACCCTAATATGAGTGATCTATCCATGACTAGGATGAAGTTTAGGTGAAGCTAAGTGGAGGTCGGAATGAAACACAAAATTGAAAGTTCAAGAATTTAGCAAAAAAGAATAAAAAAGAAAAAGAAATCCTAAAATCTCTCCCTCATGCATGGCCTGCAGTTCACCTACCTAAATTTGAACCAACAACCAATTGTATAAAAAGAAACAATTGTAGAATAAAAAAGTACTCCTTCAGCTGATTGTTTGTCTTCTCTCTCTGTTACCAAAAGGATGCCAATAAAAGGTGGAAATTTGGTTGGCCCTTAATCTGATGATGGCTTATCAATGTACAAACTGAGGTGGGGCTTTGTCTGATAAGCTTTGGGTATGTGAAGCCATTGCCCTGGTCTAGCAGTTAGCTATTGCTGTCAATTGAACTGTTTATGAAATCTTTATCTTTGTTTACTCTGTCTTCCATCATCCTTCGCTGTCAATTGAACTGTTTATGAAATCTTTATCTTTGTTTACTCTGTCTTCCATCATCCTTCACTTTCCTCTACATAATTCTTTTTTCAGTATGATTCTCTGACCAAATCTATCATTGAGAGAAATTTTGGCACGTTCCAATGCAATTTCTAACTATCTTATGTCTTCTATCAATGAATGCAGGTGATATTAATCATAGTATTGTCATCATGCAAACCCTGATGGAGAGGCTAAGACCCCTTGTAGGTAGTAAAAGCTGGGACTACTGTGTTCTCTGGAAATTGAGCCAAGACCAGAGGTAGAGTTACACAAACACATACTCTCTCTCCCCCAGCTTACTACCCTTTTTGTCTCTCCATCACTCCGAAGATTCTAATTCTGTTTCAGCCTTTCAGGATCCAACCCATTTCTCTTTCACTCAATCACTATAAAGCTTTCTTTTCTGTTTCAGATGTATTGAATGGGTGGACTGCTGTTGTGCTGGGACTGAGAACAATCAAAATGGTGGAGAAAAACACGTCTTTCCATGTAGGGACACCTTAAGTCCACACCCACGTGCCAGTTCTTGCGATCTTCTTGCTCAGCTGCCATGTTCAGTGCCGCTAAATTCTGGGTATTTCATTGATATTTATCATTCCACATACCCTACTTCCCTTCCTCATCTATCTCTCAACTTTTCCCTGTTGAACAGGGTTTATATACAGACATTGTTATCAAATGAACCTAGATGGCTACTCTTCTCCAATGGCATGGATTCAACCGCACTGGAAGTGAGCTGGATTTGAAGGGGAAACAGTATCACACTACTATATCTTCCAGCAAACAGCTTACACCTTTTTCATTCTCTTTGCAGGAAACAATGGGGACCAGGGTATTAATTCCATTTCCATTTGGATTAGTGGAGCTGTTTATTGCTAAACATGTATAGACTCTTCTAGTAATCTCATTCTTCTTTTGAAGGGTTCTATACATCTTTCAACTAAAAATATAACCAAACTGGTTTTTTAAGGACAAATTTAGACAGATGCTCTCTGTTCTTACAGGCGTCTGAAGATCAGCATGTCATAGATTTTGTTACAACTCAATGCAGCATTTCGATTGAGCAAGGAGCTATTATTAATTCAAGCAATATGGATACAAGTTTCTCTGTTGATGTAAATGCAACCAACGAAATCCAATCAAAGCCATTTTTAGCAGATCAGAATGTTGTAATAGAGGATCCTGAAAATCAATTTGAGGCACCAGGTTCAACCGCACCAACATTAGAAAATGCCAATGTGGGTTATGAAATCTCATTAGACAGAATCCGCCTCTGTAGTTCTCCTATGAACTTCTTGCAACAGTTCAATTATAGCTCAGAAAACAGAAACAAGAACGAAATCTTCCATGAATGTTCACAGGATGCATTCCATACTGATAAGCAGGGAAATCCTTACAAGTTTTCAGCAGAAAATGAGTTCCAAGAGGTGGATATAATGCAGGGGTCCTTAATGAACAACACATCAAACATTCATATGCAGTTCAAGGAGAACACTGAATGTAAGGAGCAGCAAGGGGAAGAAAAGGACTTAGTCAAAAATGAAAATGGAAGGTCTGATTCAGTCTCTGATTGCAGCGATCAGATCGATGATGAAGATGATGTGGTTGCGAAGTACCGCCGGAGGACTGGGCAGGGTCCTCAATCAAAGAACCTTGTTGCTGAGAGGAAGAGAAGAAAGAAACTTAATGAGCGGCTGTATAACCTGCGAGCATTGGTTCCCAAAATTTCCAAGGTGATCACCACTAAACCCTTGTTTGGATCACCGGAAATCATCAAGGAAAATGAAATAAAATAGCTTCCTTCGCACTTGAATCAGTTAACTCCTTTTCCTCACATAATTCTTTATAATTAAACACTTCATCTTCTAATGAATAGCTTTTGTGGATTTCTCAGATGGACAAAGCCTCAATACTTGGTGATGCAATTGACTTTGTGAAGGAGTTGCAAAAGCAAGTCAAGGAACTCCAAGATGAACTGGAAGAACATTCAGATGATGAAAATGGTAAGATTGTAGTTACAGGAAACGATGGAAACAAAACTAGTGTCCAGCTACCTGAGTTTTTGAGCCAGAACGATAAAGCTCAAAACAGTTACCATATAGGAGTTCTAGGAAGTGGAAGCCTTTTGAAGCAACATCATCAGGACACTGAAGGTACTAACAATGACAAGACACAACAGATGGAGGTATATACAAGAAGTTAATTTTAGGACCAAGAAACTGTGCGTGTCTGTACATGTATGTTTCCTTTTATAATACACTACAGATGCTAAAACAGAAGTAAAATGAAATCATTTCAGCCGCAAGTGGAAGTGGCTCAGATTGACGGGAACGAGTTCTTCGTAAAGGTTTTTTGTGAGAACAAGCGAGGTGGGTTTATGAGGCTAATGGAGGCCTTAAACGCTCTTGGCTTGGAAGTCACAAATGCAAATGTGACCAGCTATAGAGGCCTCGTATCTAATGTTTTCAAAGTTGGGGTAAGCAAACTTTTCATCTCCCAAATATTTGCAAGCTTTCCACAAATCCAAACAAGAAAATGATTCAGAAACTAGATCACACCAAGTTTACCAAATATACTATCAAGTGTTGGTACAATTATTCGATGATGACTTTCTTGCCTAACATTTTGGTGGCAGAAAAAGGACAGTGAATTGGTTCAAGCGGATGATGTAAGGGACTCCTTATTGGAGATAACAAAGTACCCATGCAGAGGGTGGTCTGAAATGGTTAAGCAACCAGAGTGCAGCGTAAGCCGCATGGACTACCAGACCCACCCCCATACCCACCAGCACCAGCACCAGCACCAGCACCAGATCCAGCATCCATTTCTAGACAAAGCTATCAATTCACGCCTCCACCTCCTTGATGATTAATTAACAAATCTTCTTCCCAGCCAAGGCACTAATTTCAGACTATATCTATTTGTTTTCATTTCTAGTTCATAGTACACACACCACAATAAAGAATAAAAACGATAAACACGCAAATTCCACAACCATGTTGTTTCGAATAATCAAAATCAATTACCTCCGAGTTAGCTCTGCTCTGTCTGAACTGAGATTATAGCAGAAAATGAAAGCCGCAACAAATTTACAAGTAGGAGCAGAAGGCGAGACTAAAATAGCTTTAACTGTCTACACAGATCACAATAGCACAAATCCACAGAAAAAAGTAAGAACATCATCATCGCAAGTAGGTTAAATTTAGGAGAAAACCAAAGGATTCAGGGAGTTGTTCCAATTAGTATAAAGCCTCAATCCGAGCAGGATAAACCAATTCTATTGAATATTACAGAAATGAAAATCAAATAAGGTACAAATCAAGAATGTTCACAATCGGAAAATGAATCACTTACAACTGTGCAAGAAACAACGACCCGAAGGATTATGAGAAGCCTGGTGAGCTGCTAACTTTTCCATCCTAAATGCGCGCTTCTGGTCTTAAAGGAAGAAAATGAAGATCAACGAAGTAACGGCACGAATTTGTATAAATATGTTAGCAATTTAGTTCGGATTAATATTTTTTTTAAAAATTTATTAATATCAATAATTTATTAATTAATATATATATATATATTCTTCCGGCCAAAAGTTATATACTGTCAGTAGTTATTATTACTCTCTTGCTTGCATATATAATGTCTCTTTCGAATATCTCTTTCTGCTCTCGTTTTTTAAAATCTTCTTCTTAAACCGAAATTAGAAGCTCGAGCATACGTCGTCGTCGTTGAAAAGTGAGTGCTGCATAATCGCAAATCCGCTGCCATCAAAAGTGGGATTGTGATATATATATATTCGAAAACTTTTTTAAAAATTTCAAAAAATTATTACTGATATGATAATATATAAAGGTTAAAAGTATTAAGGTTACTTTTAAAATTTGATGGATATTTTTTAAATATGTATTAATGATAAATATATATTTTAACTTCTAAAAAATTTGAGTGGTATTACCTTCTAAAGTTGAAGGATATTTTTGAAACAAAGTATTAACGGTTCAACTATGATGACGTGACATTTCTCTCTATCTTTCTGGAACGTTGAGAATTAATAATATTCTCTCCCATTTTCAAAGACGAATGAAGGAGCAATAACGTCCATGTTAATTTGCCATTTATAAGACTCAATATGTTCAATTTAAGTATAACTCAGTAGACAAGACACTTACTACTCTTCGAAATTTAATAGTTTTGTCTAGTCTATAAAATAAATGCTAAATTACTAATTTGTCCTTCAACTTACGAAGTTATATCTATTTGTCACTTAAATTTTCGTACTTCCAATTTTGTGTCAAATATGTCGAATCATAAAAATATTATTTCGTATATCAAAATTTTAATTTGTGTCTAATAAATCCCTAAACTTTTTCAAGTTGTGGTTGTCGTTCATTTATTTGATATTTAAAAAAAGAATTCACTCCTTTATTAGATATAAAATTTAAATTTAAAGTTTAGGATTCTATTTACATCTAATTAATTAGTTTATTTTTAAAAATATTTCAATAGGTTAGAAAGAAAATATTAAAAATTTATTAAATAAAATTATTAATATAAGGGTAAGATGGTCATTTTCTTAATGGAGAATTTTCTTTTGTACCCCTTTTAAAAGATCCGAGCTTCTTCGTGGTATCGCAACCGGAATTTCGCATTTGCCCAAGTTTTGGCCCAATCCAGGAGAAGAAAACCGACCGGTCACCGCCGAAAATGATCGTCTGCGTCGCCGTCGTCGGCCACCAGGTGCGACCTCCATGATTACCGTATTTTATGGAACTGAAAGGAATTTCATATATGTTTATATAAATAGATTTGTGATCCTTTTCCAATTCGGCCGAGCTAACAGAACAACCCCCTTTACATTCAAAGCTTCACGGAGGCCGATGATGCTCTCAAGCTTCATCACATCGTTCACTGTTCGCTGGATGTCGTCGATGAGCGAGGTATGTTTATCTTGCTTACCTTTGTGTTTTGTTTCTCGGAGTTTGATATTTCACGAAGTTGAAAGACGATTGGATCTAGGAATTGCGCCTGGTGTTTTACTCAACTACTAGGATTTATGATTTGGACTTGTTTTTGTGATGATTTTCAATTCTTTCTTCTGATATGTTTGTGGTTTTGCTGCCAGTGAACAATCCGAGAAAATCTGGACCGACCTTGAACGAGACCTTTCTCGGTCTTCTTTATCCGACTGAAAATTACAAAGTGTGAGTGTAATTGTTTCTGTGGATATTACAAATTAGTGAGAGTTGTTTCATGTTCATATAGGTAGGATCAGAACTAGTCTTCTTTCTACTTCAATTGGAGTGGACCTTTAATGATCTGTACGATTGAAATCATTTCCAGGTATGGCTACTTGACTAATACCAAAGTGAAGTTCATTATGGTGACCACAGATCTAGATGTCAGAGATGCCGATGTGAGGAATGTGAGTATCATTGTGAATTTCCAATTGTCTACAGCAGTATAGATCTTTAATTTTCACTTGCGAACTCTCACTGTTAGGTTAATCTGAGTTTTGAAGATGAAAATTTTCAGAGTGTTTACTATTTGTGAAGAGTTTAGTGTTGCAAACACTTAATGAGGGCCTCCTATTATTCAGTTATCTTTTGGAATTTTTCTTTCAATGATATAGAGCAACCTTTCCCATGGTAGCTGTTTTAGAAGTGATTGGAACATGATATATTCATGTTGAGGAGTCCTATAAAAATGTTTATACTTCCTTCATGGCCAGCTGAAACCCGATGAAACAAGAACTTGTATTGATAACCAAAGGACAGCCACAAATTTTAGCCCCAAAAAATCCTCTATAACTAACAGTATCTTGGAAGATCCGTTGGTTCCTTTCCTTCCTTGTGAGCCGACCCAAAGAAGTTCTGTTGCTGTAGGACACCACAAATTTTAGCTTCTTATGCTCGAAAAACACATGCCCTTAATCTCCAGCTACTCATAGTAATAGAAGATATGAAGATAAGAGTTTCTGTCAAGATGCTAACGGTGCACACCCTAATTCACCATGTTCAGCGTCTTCAGATTCTATCTCTTAATGATAAAAGTGATCACAGGGTCGCTATCTTAGTAAGGTACTTATATGTACATGACATTCTAGAGAGGCATACTATTTTAAATATTTATTCTCCCCTCACAAGTCAGCTGAAACCAGAATTGATGTCCATTGAAATCTTAAATAAGCTTCCTTAAAATTTTTGTGTTAAAACACTTCTGGCTACAAAATATAGCAGCATGGTATCAGATTAATGTGCAATCCTTGATTCTTTGTTTTTGTATAAGAAACCATTATTATCAGTATGAACTTAACTCAACTAGTTAAAACTAAGACATATATCCCTGACAAAAAAAGACAGAGGTTCGAATATCTACCTACGTATTATTGAACTCCACAATATAGGAATGCACCATTGTCTCTTATCATATGCACTATCAGTTGATAGTTCAAGTTGCTTGATTGTATTTTTGAGAACTCTTGCTTTCGTAGGGAGATTTAGTTCATGAATTTGAAAAGTCTTGAGTTTGATAGTTACTAAGTCTAATATTGTGTAGCATTTGGATGGGGTTTAAGAAATCTGAGCTTTCGTATACCTTGTTTTGGTCTGTGGGTTGATATAGGCTTACGTAGTCCAAGCTGGTTAACTTTGTGGTCCGAGATAGGTAAATTCACATAATAGTTAGGCTCAACATTTTTATTCCAGGTAGATACAAATTCCAGAAATAGCTAATACCACTTTGTTGTCGCAATTGATTGACCTTCTTTCTGTGAGATCCCACGTCGGTTGGAGAAGAGAACGAAACATTCTTTACAAGGGTGTGGAAACCTCTCCCTAGCAGACACGTTTTAAAACCGTGAGATTGACGGTGATCCGTAATGGGCCAAAGTGAACAGTATCTGCTAGCGGTGGGCTTGAACTGTTATAAATGATATTAGAGCCAGACACCGGGCAATATGCCAACGAGGACATTGGGCTCCAGATCCCACGTTGGTTGAAAAGGGAAACAAAACATTTTGTATATAAGGGTATGGAAACCTCTCCTTATAGACGTGTTTTAAAATTGTGAGGCTGACGGCGATACGAAACAGACCAAAGCAGTGGGCTTGGGTTGTTACACTTTCTATTGTAAACCATTTCTTTTCGAAAATGAATTCTAGATTTAGTAAATTGTGGATTCTGCCTTGCTTATTTACACATTATGTTACTTACATGAAGCTTCTTAATATGACATCTGACGCATTCTTCAAATTTGTGTCCAGTTCTTCCGGAGATTCCATGCTGCATATGTGGATGCAGTTTCAAACCCATTTCATGTACCAGGTAAGAAAATTACTTCCAAAACTTTTGCTGAAAGTGTGAGTACCATAGTCAAGTCGTTTGGGTTCAGTTCAGCTATTTGAGTGACCAACCAGGAAACCACTGTCTGTAGCCATCGACAGCCATAGTTCATTACTCATCTTTCTGGTTTTTATTGATTTTATTCGAAAATATTCTACTCGAATTGTACTAAGAAAGATGGAACAAACAGGTGTGGTCTTTTTCTAGCTTTTTCTCAAACAATTCAACCTTTTTTTTCAATGATATTCACTGTTTCCATTTTATGCTCGTTTCCCATGACTGTTCCAATGACTGAATTCTGTTTTGAGGTGCAATTTTCTCCATATAAAATGCAAGATTGAAAAGGTGAGAATGAAGGGGTCATTGGCTTATCAAAGTTTAGAGTTGGTTGGTCTTGATTTGTATAATTTGTGTTTAGAGGTGCAATTTTCTTCGTATATGTTATGAAAGTTTATCTATTTGCTCGTGTTTTAAACGATTTCTCATTTAAGATCATATATATTTGGTCTATATACTTTTAAGAAAATCTTGTAAATGCCATTTTGTGACACTCATTACATACTTTTATTTATTTGAAATTAGTATGTGATATGTGGAAATCACTGGGAGTAAGGTTCGGATTAGCTTGTTGATCGAGGTAAGAATATTGTTTGAGATTCGAATCACTCTACAAGCAAATCGATCATGTCTAGCTTGAATGATTCTTGTTGATCAAATATCTTAACGCAAGAACACTTGTTTGAGATTCGAATTACTCCACAAGCAAGATTGATCATGTTAAGCTTGAATGATTCTACATGCAATCTAAATTACGTAGAATTGCAAAGAAACTTAGCCATTGGTTATAGAAAGCACAAAGACTCTTTTTACTATATTTTTAAGTCTACCTACAAATACAACCAGTACAATAACTCAAAATAACTCAAAATTACTCTAAATTGTAATCCACCCAAAATTTATAATATGAAACATCATTTTTTTCTTTAATGTGGTATGAATTGATTTTTTTTTTTAATTTCAACAATATTTTCTTCACATCTTCATTGAAGCATATTGTATGATTGATGTCCCTTGGTTCATATTAGTATGT